GTGGTTTCTCGAACACCGAAGTTCTTCACCATTGAACGCTGACGACAGCGGGTAAACATCTCCATCAATCGCCTTAAACCAGCACACTGTGACGCTGCCCCAGACATCTCTCCAGAAACACATCCACCGACTACGCCGTTCACTTTTTGATCACTGTTACCATCAGCACCGCCACCTACGACAACGGACGATCCTGTACAACCTCCCATCCTACAACCCCAGTTACCAGCTGCACCACAACCTGATCCTACGACGATGGACGATCCAGTGCGACCTCCCACCCTACGACCCCAGTTAGATGACATCAGCGAAGAGGAGGAAGTTAACTTTGAGGGTTATGCAACGCGAGCAGGGTGTACAATTCACCGACCAGCTAGGTTCCTTGATCAAGTGTTTTTCCTTTTATCCCCTGGGAGGGGGGAGTTCTGTAGTGAGTAGATTATCCCAATAATATACTCGCTCCAAACGCATTGGCATAATGAGAGAAGCAAAGCTCTTCTTAGTACTAATTATGGAACTCAAACCTTTCCCAACTTCCACATACTATTCCTGTCAACCTTTGGAGAATGGTGAGGTGTTGCCCGAGCATATAAGCAGCAGAGTGGCGAATAATAACTAGTCTACTTTCAAGTGTGGTCTAGAACAGACACTTGCGAGATACTGTACCGACTCCCAGTACGCTCAACTCACACCATTGCTCGCCAGAGTATCACCTGCATACTTCTGTATGCTCGACCAAATATATATATATTCTCTTAGTGTTTGTGTTTATTGTCACCATACTTTACGTAACAATAGAACCGTTACAATCTCTTTCATTATTGTTATAAGACCTTCTCGTTTACTATCTAGCTCCTCCTTTGACCATGTGGTGCTTGGCAGTGGGCTATATGCATTTATGATCATTAGTTTATCATCCTCATGGCAGATCGCTAGTGCTATTACATCAACTTCTTGTGGATTGGCAATTATTATTTCGTTCACCTTTAGGTGTTCTTTCACCAGCACAACAACCCCACCGCCTTTCCTAATTTTTCTGTCCCGTCTCCAAATTGAGTAGCCCCTTGGGAATATGACCTCATTTAAAATAACATCTTCAAGTTTTGTCTCCGTGAGTGCAAAAATGTCTGGTGTCTGCAGCTGTATTACATCACTTAACTCTAGTATCTTTGATTTCACTCCATCTATGTAACATATATGTCAGTAACATATATGTTACTGATCACATACGTTGTAAGGCTCTAGTAAAATTCCAGGACCTCTACTTTGGTATGAGTCAATTTGTTTTAAATTTACTAAACACAAGGTGTATTGGAGACACTAAATCTGAACGGATTGAATGAAGAATGTTTGTTGTCTGTGTGTAATATTTGTTGTCTATATGTAATGTTTGTTGTCTATATGAACAATCTACTAGAAGGAATACTGAATTATATGGAACATGTTTGCTGATGATGCCAAACTACTTGGGAAGATAAGAAATTTTGAAGATTGCCATGCTCTTCAAGATGAATTGGATATAATAAGTGTATGGAGCAACACCTGACTGATAGAATTTAATGTGAATAAATAACACGTTATGGCATGTGGAATAGGACAATAGACCACACACAACATACAAATTATATGAAAAGCTTTCAAGAGCTCTGATAAAGACAGAGATCAAGGAGTGGTCCTGAATAGAAAACTGTCCCATAAGGACCACATAAAAACATTGTGCAGGGAGCCTTTGCAATATTTTTCAACTTCAGAATTGTTTTTAAATACATGCTGGCACAATATTAATGAAACTGTTCATAACCTTTGTAAGACCAAAATTGGAATGTGCAGTGGTTGAATGGTGCCCATATCTCAAGAAGCACATCAATTAACTGGAAAAGGTGCAGAGACATTCAACTAATGGCTACTGGAACTGGAATACAAGAGCTACAAGGAGAAGCTAAAGGTGTTAAATATACCAGTTATAGAAAATAGAAGAAAAAGTGTTGATATGATCACTACATACAAAATAGTAATAGGATTTGACAATATTGACAAAGAATTCTTGAAAGCTGCATCTTCAAGAACAAGCATTCATAGACTCAACCTAAGGAAACGAAGCTGCCAAAAAACCAGCATTGAATCTAATGAAACACCATTTTCTGGATGAGCCCCGGAGGCTCCCTGAAGCTATGCAGCCTGATATGTGCTATATTGGTTTGGGGACATCAGTTACAGAAGTTCTATTGCCAACCGGGGACCACAAGCCAGAACCTGGCCCCCTTCAGAGAGGCACAGGAAGCAATGGCTCATATGAGCACTCTATATTTCAAGTATGTCATGTCTGCCATCAACTGGGGAAGGCACCCAGAAAGATAGGTGAACAAGTACAAACCCTCTACTGGTGAAAATTGTAACCTTTGGCTCTGTTCGGACATAAAACTTCCCCTAAAAGAGTACAAACAAGCAAATCGTCATCCAACTAGCGCGCCCACTTGTTAGTGCTCCCCTCCCCCTTCTGAGAGGGGGGAGGGAGAGCCTGCTCAGGCGAGCCAGCAGCTCACACCTCCAGTTCATAGAATGATGAAAAAACCACCAACTGGAGTGAGGGGAGGGTGTCAGGGAGCTTCCGGGGCTCACCCGCAAAATGACATTTCATTACATTCAATGCTGGTTTTCTGAGGGGAACCCTGTCAGTTCCCTGAAGCTAACTACCCACAGATAAATAAAAAGAGGGACTAAATTGGAAGATGGCAGCACCGCAGGTCTCAAGACGAAGACAAAGACGAGACTCCAGGACATGACAGTCGGCCCATGCTACACAAAGCTAGAGAGGGCCAGGAACCTTGACAAGATACTTGGTGGCCAAGATCTTGTTCAATTTCTAAAATCCCCATGCCCAAATGTCAACCCAAGACATAGGCCCAAAAGCCACAGCGAGAGCAGCAAACTACAACACATCACGGGCATGTGGGGAGACCGCAGGCTGGCTAGACTTGAAAACCCTGTGGACAACCTGAGAGACCCGAGTCCTGGAACAGGGAACCAGGATAACCTGAGCAACCCAGAGCATGTCCATTGTTTCTGAACCAGAGGCCTGCAGGTAGTGATGTAAAGTCGCTACCAGACACAAAACTTGATGCATCCCCAGCCTAACCAACCAAGCATCAACAACTCACGGATTCCTCCGGATGCCCGCTGTCTCATTCTTTGCTAGAAAAGAAGGAGAAGGCTGCAAATGAATAAAACGACCCCCAGGACCAAAGGAGCAAAGCCCTCTGCACCTGAGGAGAACATGAAGCTCCCCAACCTGATCCTCAGAAGCTAAAGCCACCAAAAACAAAACTTTCAGAAAACAAGCATGGACCGAAGGGGCCACTACAAACCGAGGAGAGGAGAGGAGAGAAACAAGAGCACCCTGTCCAAAGACCAATGAGGCACAGAGGCACAGGTGGCGTATGAGTAGGCCGGAGGTGGAAAATGCACAAAATAGCTTACAGAATGGAGCAGAAGTGACATCCACCCCGAACGCAAGGTGAAGCAGCTCCGCCAACGCCGCATGAAAAAAAGCAACGGCATTCGGCTTGAAATGCCGGTCCTGAAAAGACTATGAAAGGACAAAACAACAAGATCAGACACTGACAAGACCTCACAAAGGGAAAGGAAATGGCGAAATATCCACTAGGAGATCTGCGGTTGTTCAACGTCCTCCCAGCAAGCATAAGAAATATTGCCGGAACAACCGTGGACATCTTCAAGAGGAAACTAGATTTATTCCTCCAAGGAGTGCCGGACCAACCGGGCTGTGGTGGGTATGTGGGCCTGCGGGCCGCTCCAAGCAACAGCCTAATGGACCAAACTCTCACAAGTCAAGCCTGGCCTCGGGCCGGGCTTGGGGAGTAGATGAACTCCCAGAACCCCATCAACCAGGTATCAACCAGGTATCAACCAGGTATCAACCAGATGTCATACTGTCTCAAAGAGGAAGATAGCAGATGGGACACCATCAAATAAACCACCTGATCACCATATAAAAGGCGATACACCCGTGTCAAAAAGACCAAACGCAAACAGCGGAAGAGTAGGGCAAACCAGCAAGGTACCTCAGAGGCCTGACCCTTTGAAGGAGGCAGAGCCGTGGAAAGGCTCTCAGATTTGGACACTGAGCAAGCAGTGCCTGAAACCAAGGTCGGGCTGGCCACCTTGAGGCCCCAATAAGATCCGAGCCATGCCAACAGCCAGAGCAACAGCTGGACCGGGTGACGACCTCGCAGTCAGGAAACGGTGCCATGTATAAAGGGAGATGCCGAGACGATGCCAACACGAAGAGTCCCCCTCCGGGCACCCAAACGTCTGACAAAGCCAAAGGAAGGAGGCAGCATCGACCGTCCACTCCATGGAAAGAGGAAGGAAGCACATCAGGCTATCTGCCAGGACTGCGGACACCCATGAAAGCGAACAGCATGGAGAGCCAACCTCGAGAACTCGGCAGAAGAGCCACTTGAAGCGACCAGACCCAAAGAGCCACGGACCGCAGATACCCTCCCTGGTTGAGACAATGAACCACAGAGGCACAGTCCGAAAGGAGCCGGATCACAGAGCCCCAAGGCATCCAAACCCTCACAGCACCTGCCATTCAGCTGCAAAGACCTGCATCGTGCTGTGAGCCCAACAGAAGGATGGAGCCCTGTGCCCCTTGCTGGCCTGGTGAGCACTTATCACAAAGCCCCAGTCGAGGGATGAGACAACAGGAAACACATTGAGCAAGGGCAAAGGAAGGCACCATGGCATTGAACATCGAAAAACCGTAAAGAGGAAGCCAGAGTCGCAGCAACCAACGCAAGGACATCAGGTTCAAACCCAGCAATCCCAAGAGTGGCGAAAGGGGCTGCCCCGATGGTACCAGAACAGCCACTGAAGCTAAACCCTGCCCAGTGAGAAAACATGCAATGCAGAGTTCCGGCACCAGCACAGCTGCTCGAGCAACTGCTGCGTGACCTGTGTTCTTCCCACAAATACAGCTGAAAGCGGGACTGCAGCTGAAGCAAAGCCGCAGGAGGGAAAGAGACAGACGCTGTCCAAGAACCCCACACGAGGCCCAGCAAAGGTCAAACCCGGGAAAGAACCAACTGGGACTTCCGCCAAGTCACCAGGAACCCAAATCCAGCAAGATGGGGAAGCATCAGATCCCTGGCCAGCAGACAAGCAGACCGGGAGGCAGCCCACACCAACCAGCCAGAGAGGCAGGCTGTCAGCCAGAAAGTCACCAGAATCACGAAACACCCTTGAGCAAGAGAAGAGGAACCGAACTCAAAGAAAACTGGATCCAACACTGAGGCAAAACCTGGGTTCCACTGGAGGCACGCGCCATGGGCATCCCAAACCCCCCAATGGAAATCTGAGAGGAAGAAAACCTCTGAAAAATGAATCCGAGAAACCACAGGGCAACCGGAAATGAACCCGGGAGTAGCCCTATCTACCACATTTACCAGTGGAATGATGCACCACGAGAATGAAAAGCCTCCATAGGCATTTATAAAAAGAACATAATATGGAATGGTAAGTCACAGGACTCTGATGAAAAGACCCACGGCAAAACAGCCATAATACAGACAGGATACCAAAACCCAAAGGCTTGGGAGCCGGAAGAGCATATGACAAGTGCACTGGGCCCTAAACTTGTGCCTAGAAGAACAGAAGCAAAACTACCACAGAACCACAGTCACGAACCAAGACTGTGAGACAAGACCATCACCCAAAGTTCCCAGGGGAAACATACAAGGGAGGATGCCATAACATAAAGAACAAGACAGAGAATGTCGTGCAGCAGCAGTAGCATAACCATGGATGGACCCAAGGAAGGTATGCACAGTAGGAGTGGTGTCCCAAGGAATGGACCTAAAGCAAACAACACGTACCAAGGGGGAGAAAAGAACCCCAAGAACCCAAACTTCCAGAGGAAGAGAGAAAAGAAAAGGGCACAAGGGGTAACCAAGTACCCAAAGGAGCCATGGAAACAAGAAAAAGAACTCGCCCAGAGGCAGAGGAAAAGGAAAGGGAATGCAGGAGACAAAGCTGAGGTGAAGGCTACAAACGGAGAACCTCAGGAGTGCCAAAAACGCAGCATGACCCCTGCAAGCACTGCCATTCAGACGTTGAAAATGGGGGACAGATACACGGAAAATGAAAAGGAAATGTGTGAAATATTAAACAAAAAGTTCCAAAGTGTGTTTGTACAAAATGAGATCTTCAGGGAACCAGACGCAATAAGAATTTCAGAGAACAACATACAGCACATAGAGGTGTCTAGAAACGAAGTGAAACAAATGCTCTTGGAGCAAAGTAAGAACAAAGCAGTTGGCCCAGATGGAGTTTCACCATGGGTTCTGAGAGAATGTGCACCTGAGCTCAGCATACCACTTCACTTGATCTTTCAGGCATCCCTGTGTACAGGAGTCATAGCAGATGTGTAGAAAAAGGCTAACATAGTTCCAATCTACAAAAATGGCAGCAAGGAAGACCCCCTCAATTATAGACCTGTATCATTGACAAGTGTAATAGTCAAAATATTGGAAAAATATAATATAAACTAAATGTGTAGAACACCTGGAGAGAAATAATATAATATCAGACAGTATGGTTTTTGTTCTGGAAGATCCTGTGTATCGAATTTACAGTTTCTCTGATCGAGCCACAGAGATGTTACAGGAAAGAGATGGTTGGGTTGACTGCATCTATCTGGACCTAAAAAAGGCTTTCGACAGAGTTCCACATAAGAGGTATTTCTGGAAACTGGAACATATTGGAGGGAAAATTTTCTGACTGATAGAAAAATGAGGGCAGTGATCAGAGGCAATGTATCGGACTGGAGAAATGTCACAAATGGAGTACCACAGGGTTCAGTTCTTGCACCGGTGATGTTCATTGTCTACACAAATGATCTACCAGTTGGAATACAGAATTATATGAACATGTTTGTTGATGATGCTAAGATAATAGGAAGGATAAGAAACTTAGATGATTGTCATGCCCTTCAAGAAGACCTGGACAAAATAAGTATATGGAGCACCACTTGGCAAATGGAATTTAATATGAATAAATGCTATGTTATGGAATGTGGAATAGGTGAACATAGACCCCACACAACCTATAAAATATGTGAGAAATCCTTAAAGAATTCTGATAAAGAAAGAGATCTAGAGGTGGTTCTAGATAGAAAACTATCTCCTGAGGACCACTTAAAGAACGTTGTGAGAGGAGCCTATGCCACGCTTTCTAACTTCAGAATTGCTTTTAAATACATGGATGGTGAATTACTAAAGAAATTGTTCATGACTTTTGTTAGGCCAAAGCTCGAATATGCAGCGGTTGTGTGGTGCCCATATCATAAGAAGCACATCAACATACTGGAAAAGGTGCAAAGACATGCTACTAAGTGGCTCCCAGAACTGAAGGGCAAGAGCTACGAGGAGAGGTTAGAGGCATTAAATATGCCAAAACTAGAAGACAGAAGAAAAAGAGGTGATATGATCACTACGTACAAAATAATAACAGGAATTGATAAAATTGTCAGGGAAGATTTCCTGAGACCTGGAACTTCAAGAAGAAAAGGGCATAGATTTAAACTAATTATACAAAGATGCAGAAGAAATATAAGAAAATTCACTTTCGCAAACAGAGTGGTACACGGTTGGAACAAGTTAAGTGAAAGGGTGATGGAGGCCAAAACCGTCAGTAGTTTCAAAGTGTTATATGACAAAGAGTGCTGGGAAGACGGGACACCACGAGCGTAGCTCTCATCCTGTAACTACACTTAGGTAATTACAGCGAGAGAAGTACAAACTCTCTTAAACAACCAACAACACCTCAGCAGCGATGCAGGAACTTAGAGCAATCCACATACCTCCATGCCCCTAACAGAGCAGATATAACCCAAACCAGAGATGTGTCACTGGAAGAGCAAGAGTGCAAGACAAAAGCGAAAAACGCCCCCAAAAAGCGAGCGCAAACTCCCAGGTGTCACATGTAAACAAGATGGAGCGCGGGCGGCCAGGTGTGAAAGCATCCCAGTAAAGCAAAATGGCTGAAAACAAACATCCAAGCCAAAAGCAAATGCGCCGGATGGAATGGTTCTGAAATCATGTCAGCAAATGTGGTAAAACCAGAGTAGAAGGGTAGAAGAGGACAAAAACCCCCCTTCTATAATGCAAAACCCCAGCCCAGAAGGCACAAAGGCCCAAGCAGGGGCACAAAGCCAAAGCGCTCGTCCTGGGTTACCCATCAAAGCCTCGGGAAACCCTGATAGAGACCCTCACCCTCAAGGCAGAGCCCTCATCCACACCCACCACCCCTGAAGAAAAGGCAGAGTCCAGGGAAATGGCTTCAAAGAAAAGTCTGCCAGGCCGACCCAGAAGCCTCGGCAGGATAATCTGGCACAACAACCTCTGTACCCAAATCGGAAGGGGCAGTCCCTAAAGCCACTCGATCTAAACCCTACCCTGACTGCGAAATCCCCAGACATTAAGGAGTCGGCAGCTTGGGAGCAGGGCGAACCACGCCCACCTGGGAAGGAAGCGGGAGCACAGGCAAAGCGAAAGTCAATGTGACAAGCGCCCCCAAATCCAGGGCCCCAAAACCCAAGCATGGCAGCTCCAGGGCTTCTAACCGAACAACCAACTTGGCTCGTTGCAACAAAAAATATGTAGCATGCAACTCTTCTGAAACCTGACCCCTGAGTTCTTCAGACAAAGAACTGGTAACTGTAGCACAAGTGGAGAAAAAGTCCGACACGACTCCGAGTCGAAGGTGTCACCGACCTAACAGGTAGCATGAAAGTGGCACCACGGATGATCTTCACCCCTGAGACAGGGGCAACGAACAACCAACAAACTCACACAAGGCGAAAGAGGACTCAGAAGACATGCTAATGGTCATCCCAAACCCTATGGGGTTTTCCAAGGCCCAAATGGTGAGTAACCCCTACAGGGGGAACCCAGGCACTGGGCTAGCTAAGCCAGTTAAACCCTGTCTAATACCAGGCAAACTGACTACCAAGAGTAGTTGTGAAACCTCGAGGGCACCAGAGGAAGACTACCAAACACAACCTAGATGGACCTAATAGGAAGCTAGGCAGACCTCGAAAAGAAATGTTTAAAAATAAAAGCATAAAAACCCTGAAATCCCAGAAACAAACAAACTGGCAGTCAGAGAGAGACTCATCTGCCACGTGTGTGCAGGCTGTGCTTGACCACAGTGCACCCCACCCAGCAACAATCACTGCCTACCCAGGGCATGGAAATCCTTACGAACCCCCACCCAACCCCAAGGGTGAGGCCAACACCAAGTGACGGAGACCCTTATGAGAGTGAGTCACGAATGCCTCAGGGAAGAAAACCCTAAACATTCAAAGTAGTACATGTACTTACAGGGCGTCTAGGAAAGTGTGCTTTAGACGCATGCTGCCCTGCGTACCGAAGAACACCTGGTGTTGCTTATCTGGGGCTTTGACTCAAATATAGAATTATTTAATTAAGAAAATTAATATAATCGAAGGATCACCCACTTTTGAGAAAAGAGGGAAAACAAATAAAAGTGATTATAAGACTGACACTATAGAACCAGTTCCTATGTATATTAAAATTATTTAACAATCACTTAAAGAGAATAAATGGACTGTATTATTAATTGATTAAAGTTAAAAGCCTCAAATATCAACATTGGGGGGGGGGGGTTATTTCTAGACGTTCTTATGTATCTAGGAACCAGTGTGGTTCATCACCAGTTCATTAATGGGGTTAGTAAAATAATAGAATCTTACCTAGAACGTAGATTCTAAAGGATCATAAAATATTAAATGATCAATATCTTGAAAGATAATTAAATCCTAAGAAATAATAAATGCAAACTTATTGAGTACTGAGCAGTAAATTATTGCTTTATATTATTCGTCTTGATCATCATATATAGAAATTAATAATGGTATTAGTCAAATTTTCTACGAAACAAGATTTAGTCTTATCTGTAAGACGACTTCACTAAGTCCGTTTCGATACACGTCGTGATCACAAAGTCCCAGTAAGGAAGAAACACCAATGGTGAACATTGTAGATGAAGGAGGAAGTACTTGGTTCAGCCTTTTCTACATGCTATAATCAGGGAAATTTGAGTAGCATTTGACTAGGCTATAAATTACTCCAATATTCACTGAAATTGGAAATAAAACTGAAAGAAACTAACATGGTATTGATGGTCTTCACACAACTTAACGACAGGCTATCCATAAATACACAATCTAGAATGATGCATCAGACTAAAATGTATACTTAATGTAGGCGTGTTGGAACACTAAAGCCTGCCGATATCGCCTCTGCCAGTCCCTGACGTTCACAGCTGTGGACGTGTGATTACAGGCCGTGACTATCTTTGTTGACGCGCAGTTAAACAGTTTGAGTACTGTAG